ATTCGATATTATGGGCAAAAAACATAAGGAAACAGACTAAAAAGAGAATATACAATGCGATAATAAAGAGCATGATTACATACGGGTCGGAAAGTTGGGATATAAGCAAAAGCAATAGAAGAAAATTACATGCGACAGAAATGGATTTCCTACGAAGGAGTTGTAGACGATCAAGACTCGAAAGGATCAAAAATGAAGTTATTAGAAGGGACATGGACGTTGACAACGATATTATAGACGCAGTAGAAAAGAAACAACTGAAATTGTTTGGACATACAAAAAGAATGGGAGAAGAAAGAAGGAAAAGGGGAAGACAAAGAAGAAGCTGGAGGGACGATATCAACGAAGCAATGGAAAACAGGAATCTAGAGGAGCATATGTACAATAATAGAAAAATTTGGAAACTGGGCACGGAGAAGCGGCGACCGCCTTGGAAATCCGTATATATATATTATGGGTTTGTCGAACTCAAATGGTTGGAGGGTCTCTCTTAGAACCGCTGAGTATTTTGTTCGGTTTATTTGTTGTTAAAGGGATTATATCACCTGCATTCATTATTACAATATTTCCATAAACCTCTTTGTGGACTTTCGCGGCAATTTAGGAAGCACATTCAAATGAAAATGTTTTTCATTACTCGATTTCCTATAAAGGAATTAGCACTGTATAGGACAAACAGTTTTCAGTCAGGGAAAACTTGTTGATAGCATTTTACATTGAATTGAATTTTATTTCTGAAATATGTCGCAAGCTTGCGAGAGGTGATAGGGCCTTATAAAAGAAAAAAATTAAGTATGCTTGTATATTCGAATGGTCACAAAAACGTGGTACAAAGTAGATACAGACTAATGTAATCTCGACCCTGGAAGAATATACGACAATGTAAAGCTCTATTCAATAAGCTGGTGATTAGGAGCATCCGCATCCGTCTTGCATTTCTTCTGCATTTTTGTACTCGTGCATTGTTTAGATATTAATGATATCCAGGAATGATTTTGGTAAACCTGTCTTTTGTCACGGGATAGTGTACGTACGTATGCGTACGTGTTTTTACTGGTATTGTATAATTATTTTTTTCTAAAGGGACTATTGTCGAGCCATCCATTAAAAAAGTGATGCATCTTGGCAATACCTCAATGGTAGTTAGGAAATTAACCTTACAATTAATAACAATTACCTGTCGATAGGAAATATAAACTTACCTATTTATGTTTCCGTAACGTTAATTTTGTCTTTATTTTGTGTTCTTAATACCAAGTGTACTTTAAATACTGCCGAATACTATCTGTAATCAACAAAGTTGTTATTTAATTAATTTTGATTGTAATGAACGTCTAAGCAACACTGTGTATGGAGGTGTGGTAGTAAGCTGTTGATATTTAAGTTATTAATCGTTCCACAACTTTACATTCTCCATCAATGTAACTACTTAATTTTTTTAACACAACTCCCTGTACTAATGCCCTTTTGACAATTCCCCTTCGGATAAAAATTAAATGAATTTTCACATTAATATTAAATTTTGACTATTATTAAAAGTTTCTTAAAGTATTGCATATCATAAGATAGCTTTTAATCAGTTCAAGTACGACTCCCCTTATACCATAATATGAAAACTTTGTCAGTAACCTCTCACGATTGACAGTGTAAAATGCTTTAGTCAAATCAAGAAAAACAACTGGAGTAGGAATACTGCTGTCCAGCCTCTTGTAAATATAATCAGTAGCCACAAGAATTGCACCAACAGTGCTCATCCCTCTCCTGAAAACGAATTGGCTCCAAAATAATATACCTACCTACTATATTCATCTAGGAAGACAATCATTCTGTTGTACATAATCCTTTCAAATATTTTTATCAACTTTAATACAAACAAAATTGATCTGTAATTGGATTCTAAGTACCAACTTAAACATAGGGACACCTGAGACACTTTAAAATTCCTAAGATATTTTCAATACCCAAAAGATACGTTAATGAAACGTTCAAAATGGTTCACCAATATATATGTTACCGGAAATGTAGGAATTGTATACATTTCCTAGAGGCTATTTAGGAAATCTATAAAATATTGTTTCAAAGATTTTTTAATACACATATCCTGGAAAATGTATACATAATTTCCGATATTGTACTAGGAAATGCATAAAACTAATGCTTTATGTGAATAAAATGAATGTAACACGTTAGTAAACTGAGAATCAGAGTTATCTGTGAATACAATGAATCGCCTGATCGGATGACGGAATACCCTCCCCTCGCTCGCTATCCCCGCGTGCCCATTGACATCTTGAATGTAATACATTTCCGATTGCTATTTAGGAAATGTATAGATTTCCTAGGAAACGAGTCTAATATAATTTATTTCACACGTTTCCGGGTGATTTTATAAATTATTTACATTTCCTAGGAATTGTATACAATGGCGGATTTTATACATTCCGTTAACATATACATTTATGTATGTGGTATCGGGAGCGTGTAGGATTAATTAATAAAGTCAAGTTAGGTACTAATAGAAAATAAGATATTACTTAAAATGTTATGAATAAAGACAGCGAATGCTCGAACAACGATTTATAGTTTTATGGTACTCTACCCATGGGGGTAGCAGGTAGCGCGTTTGGAAGTTGGTGATTGATGTTAAGGAAGTCGTTGTTCAGATTGAAAAGAAGAAGGTTGTTCGAGGATCGCGTATGTTTTCTTGTAAATATCAGCTCTGTATATACTTGTAAATAAATAAGAAAAAGGACACTACGATTTTGAGTAACGTTTATGCTATCAAATTAAATCCCTACATGTATGTTATATTTTTTTGAATATCAATAATCTGCAGTATCTTTTCCTTTTTTTGCTTATAATTAGTTATGAAATAATTCCACTGCATTGATATTTCTAGAAGACGTCTATAGATTTGTCTTTAATAGTATAGAAGTTACCTTGATTGTCAGCTTTATTATTACTTATGATAACCTCCTCGCTAGTGTCACCAATGCTCGTAAAATATTCTTTAAGGAAATTTACATTTTTTCTTGATCTGCAATAGTTCTATTGTCTATTAAGTATGATGATTTACCTGAAGTTTTCATTTTACTAATCTTTACATTTATAAATAGTCATTTCTTACAATTTTTGTTGAATTTGTTAACATATGTTTTATATGATATTTTAGCATTGAAATCATTTGAGTTGTTTTTGTAATACTTGTATAGCAATTGTTGTTCTACTGTACTTTAGCAGACTTTGGGTACTGCACGCATTAACAAAGAATCAAAAGCGAACCAGGGTAGAATGGTGCAAAAAAATGATGAAGCGCCTTGAATTTGGGACATCTTAGAATGTTCACAACATTACAGTATTTATGATATACCAACAAAATTCCAGAACAAAGTGTGTCTTTTTAAAAACAAGGATCCCCGGTGCATGTCCTCGGTCAACCACAAAAATTATGATTTCCGTATTTGAAAAACAGAGTCTAAACAAACAACGAACAGTTACTACTTCCAAAGGTTATTGATGTACTAATACAAATACGACCAAAGTTTAGGCTTTGCACGTGGCTTCTGCATCACGATAACACATTAACGGATATTTAAGGATGTTTGGGAGGTACAATCGGAGATAAGAGTACATAAAATTAGAAATTCGTGATTAATTAGGTTTTGCAGCATACCATGAGGTAAATAAATACTATCTATACTAAAAAAAAAAGTATACGGTTTGAGAGAAAATTTTGAATTTGACCAAAAACTTTGAATAAAATAAGAAATAACGAATAATATGGAAAATTTTTAACTGACTTTTGGCAGTGAATATGCCTTGATTTCAACTTCGAAACAAAAAAATATTTAGTTTCAATCTCTATTAATAATGAGCGTAAAACTTTTTAATATGTTTAAATAATAATTAAAACTTTAAAATTGCATTTATTTCAGACAATTATAAATATTATCATTATATTATCAAGTAAAAACGAGATTTTCAGCTAATTTTTCATTTTTTTCTCGATAACCATTTAGTGAATTTGAATAACCTTACGCTAAAGTGATTCTCCAGAGTTCAAGTTACTTATTATAAAAGTTTGAAATTTCTGGTAGCTTTTTTTCTGTTAATAAAAATAAATTTAATCTGTTCGGTTAACGAATCTCCATAAAATGACGTGTACAATTACAATTTTTTAAAATTTCAATAACTTTTTAACGGTTTAGTGAATCGATTTGTAATTTTTACAGGAATTTTAGAATTGAATGAGAAACGTTCTTCCAAATTTTTATTTGTCACGTAGCATTTTGACATACCTCCCAAACATCCTTAATACGGACTGAATTTTCTTGATCATCCTAGCGTCTTGTGACTTTGTCCTCTTTCCTAAAGTAAAAAAAAAATTAGAAGGGCATTTTCGGCCGATGAGGAACTTTTTTTGACAGCAATAGATCAAGAGTGTGCTGATCTCCCAGAAGAAAAGCGGCGAAGTTAGTTTCGACGTATGCCGATGTGCATCGATTGTGGTGGAGAGAACTTTTAAAGACTGTGAATAATACTTATACAGGACAAAACATTACGAGCATCTTATACGTATATCTCTATCTCTTAAACAAAGAGATTGATGTATTTAGGCAACCCAAGTGGTAGATCTTGCACCTTCGGATCCCAATGCATAATTCTTTTCCAGACGTCTACGTCACCATGGATTTGCCACTGGACAAAGCCATCACATAGAAGTCGAAAAATCAGATTGCAATTCTTATAAGATCACATGTGTCGTAAATTACATACCCGCCCTATGCATGTAAAATAATAGACGCCTATTTGTAACTGCTTTTATTAAATAAAGATACAACAATCATACCAAAAGAAAGCACCTATTACCACAATATAGTGAATAAATTAAATCCACCCTTTCCCAAGTAAAATAAGCTATTTATTAGTATCATATTTATTAAAAAGTTTACTTGCACGTTTGTTTAAAAGAAAACTATATCTTCTGAAAAGGCACCTACCAACCGAAATTCATTCTTAGAGAGAATCGCCCTCAAAAACTGTGGGGATTTAGCGGAGTACGTAGCGGGTCTAACTGCGTCTGCCCTCATGACAAATTCTTTCTGAGTTGCGTTGGGAAAAGCCTTACTGTCACCACCACTCGCTTCCGGATCGGTTTGATCAGTCAGTAACAAATTCGCACCCTTTTGCGCCTCGGAAAGCATGGCAACGATTCGAGAGCCTACCATTGAATCTCCTTTGTCTTCGATCTCCACTTCACGTCCCTGAATTAAATTAGCTACCAATTTACTCACAGTTTCGTTTGTCGTCCCGGTCGGATTAAATTTATACATAAGTGAATTAACTTCAGAGATTTTTAATTCTAATGATGAGATTTCTCTAATCAAGCTTTCATAGCGACGAGTATTCACAGCGCCCTCTCGAGATGCATTTTCGATAATTTTAGCGATATGACGAATGGTCGTAATTGAATCAGGTAGTTCTTGAATCACGTGTTGACTTTCTTCATATAACCGTAAGAGGGCAACATGACTTAAAACAGGGAGCAAAAGCTCCACAATTTGGGAAAGGTTCCGTGAATCTAAAAAGTGAAGAACTTTCTCAGCTTCTCTAGTATCATCGAAAAGTCTCTTTTGGCGATTGGCAGGAACAGGTTTTCCTGATGCCCACATCTGAACCCAAGTATTGTCTGATATAAGCATACGTGAACTCAGGTGACCCTTCTTCTGTCCCCAATTATCTAATTCGTCTTCTTCGATAAAGTCTCTCGGAGAATACCATCGAATGAAGTCTTCCAAAATTGACCCTGGATTAGCTGCCTTAAATGATTCCATGTCCGACAGTAATGAAGCACTCATCATTTTAGCTCTAAGCTCGCTACCTTGAGCATCAGAACCTAACTTCAATAACACATCGGATTCTTCTTCCAACTGGTCTTCTGTTTTTGGCGCAGGTTCCTGTGTAATTGGGATATATAACGATTCGCCCGTTTCTATAAGTTTGAGATTCCCAAATTTTCCAAGTCTTCCTACAGGACGGTTCCATAATGAATATTCCCTCTTCGGAGGAGCTGCATCAGCGGAGCAATCAAAAAATTCATCTTCATCAGTAGATGATGATGATGAATTTCTTTCAGCTTTACTGCCAGCTTGTTCAGAAATTGAACTCTCAAACTCTCTGGCTTCTCTAGCTTTTTTTCTTTCGATACAACAATTTAACATTTGCAATTTCTGATGAAGTAAACATGTTCGCGGATCCGGAAATCCAGGAGCGAGCCTATAAAAAAAACAACATATTATTAACTTCTTTGCACTTCAAGTGCAAATTCACGATGTATAACCAATTAAATACAACGTATTAAATTCAAAAATTAACATGTTTCGCAAGAACGAACTAGAGCGAGACAGACGTTAGAGCGTTAAGGAACAGACCTGCAAGAATTTTCGTCCTAATTTTTTTCAAAAGTCTTGGCCACTCTCAAGTAGGTGTTATTAATATCATCACATACCAATTACCACCTGTACATTTTAAAATTGCTAGGTAATCATTCTCCGCCTATTTAATCCTTTTAATAACGATAAGTTTTCAAATAAACGTATATTAAAATATACGCAATACCGTATCATAAAAATTGACTTTTTTTGTAGAAACTGTTACACGAAATAATTTTTTGAAACTGTAATTAACCTTACAAGAGTAACTACTTCTGCCTCATAATAAAACCTCTCACATGTTTGGAGAAGAACTCATTATATTTTTATTAGCAATGAACAGAAAAATTCTTCAAATACACAATAGTAAATACAGACAACGTGGTGAATACTTTCTGTAAAAATGTGCTACTTTTTGGGGGATTCTATGTTCGAAAAGGTGCTTTTCCAATAAAGATATCGAACTGTATAGAAATGAAAAGGTGTTAGAAAGAATAGGAGAACAGAAAACTTCATTGAAGTCAATAAGAAATAGGTGAGATAGCTTTGGTGGGTAATAAAGATAAAAATAAGAATAGAGAAGCGCCGCGAATTTTTTAATAGAATTTTTAGTTAACGTATGATATTTTAAACAATTACCCTCTAAATTGCTGCACCTTTTCAGCAATTAAGCCAAAAAAACACTATTCAAACTGGAAAAAACGATTTGTAATGTTTCCCCGTTTTTTTACTGCAAGTTCTCTAATTGGTCTTTTAAAAGCATATAGTGTATTCATTCATTGGACCCATCCACATTCTAGTTCTTATTTTTTTTACTGTCTGTATCATTTTATCAATTTCGAAAACAATACTATTGCCGGTAATATCCCAGTTTCGCTATTGATTTTACTGTCATAATAGTATCCTGTAGATATCTCACATTCATGACAGAACTATCATCGTGAAACAAGGCTTTTAAGTAACAGGCATGTAATCGAACAGAACAAAATATTGTTGGTGGACAGCATTCCGTGGAACTACTAGGTATGGATCGCATAACTGTCCTCGAAATTTTCAAAAGTTTTAATCTATCCACTCCTAAACGAAATGAAGAATGAAGAAATTTTGACGATCTCAAGGGAGTTTTCATCGGTTGCTTTAAGTCATTTCCATGATTCCTCTAAATTTTAAGACTTCATGTTTACGTAATTTTACTAGCGAGATGAACAAACTAAATACGCCGTTATCTTGACACATTCAAACAGAACACGGCTGGCTGGTTGATGCAATAATTATAAAGAAGCAGAGGCGTAACTAGATAACGAAAGGCTCTGGTGTAAAATAAAACTGAGACCCTGACGAAATTGCTTTGGTTTTATCAAGTCAATTTATTAATATATGTGAATACTTTAAAGGTACAAGGCTACTTTATCGTTGAAATCTTTATCGGACACAGCAATGATATAGGTAAGGACCTTAAGAACGTATACTTGGATTAATAACATTGACATTAAACACTAAAACGAAGTAAATCAAAATGTTTATGCGTTTATGTATGTAAAACATTTTATTGCACATAAAACAGTAAAAATATACAGATAAGTCATGAAATATGTACATATATGTATCATGAGTTCGCACCATGAAGAATAATATTTACAATATGGGAAACATATAAAAGGGTCCAACATTTGCTGCAAAAACCCAGAAAAACCTAGCCAGATCGCCTAACGAACAGACCAATGGCAAACGTTCAAAATTAGCATAGTCTACAATGTCGCATTTACTTTCTTCTTTCAACTTATTAACTAAACCAGTGGTTGCTGACAAAACGCCTACTTTTACTCACGACAGACGTTATAGGGAATATCATAAACATAGAAAAGAGATGTCATGTAGGAATTGCAGCGGACACTAATAAAGAAAAAGAAATACCATTACACCAATTGATGTGTAACAGAAAGAGATGCAGACAAGCAGAATTAGAGCGTGTTGCCAGTATCGGACTTTAATAAATGTTCAATATCTTCAGAAATTTAGGAAAGCAAAGACGCTTGTTTAAAGATATAATTTCAACCAGGCAGTTATAAAGCTGACCCTGGTCTTTTGCATACGTTAGTAACCTCTAGTCGCTGCACCGCTTACTGTTATTCATTTATCTCGATTCACTTTGTCAGTACTACTCATGAATTATTTTCTAACTTAACAAGGCGGTGGTCAAAACGCAGCAAATGACTACAGTCCCAAGTGGAAACAGGAAAGAAGATACGTGCATTCTCACAGATAATGTATTGCGGACTATGCCAATTTTGATCGTCTCAACTGTACTTGCTATACTGATGTATACAAAATAACAATTTAGTTTATAATAATTTCCTAACCTTACTTTTAGCAAAAGTATCAATGACTTCGGTTAAAACTAGACTTTATGTGGCTTTGTTTACAATTGTATATTAGCGATAAATGTCGTAGTCGACCCTGGTAGGTACTTTCACCCCAAGTTTCGAACAGAAATCGAAACTTGTTGGAAATTCCCTTATATTCTTTCAAATGAGTTGCCATTATTAAAATTGTGTTGCAACCAATTTTATTTACATTCCGAAGATGATAAAACATTTCGGTACTTCAATTTGACGTTTTCTAATCAGGGTACGCTGCCATCCGTCCGGGATTCTCCGGATTTGTCGTAGTTTGAAGAGCGTCCGGGGGCCGCCCGGCAGGGGTTTTTAAAAAGTTTCCGGACACTTTTGTTGTCAGGGAAATCCATCTTTTTTTATAGATAAGTGTTGAAATCATTGACAATGCGAACGTAGAGAGAGTGTTTTCGCTAGTCACGCAGGAATAGACGAAAGAAAGAAACTTCCTAAACATACACACGATTTCTTCTCTGATCAAAATCAAGTATAATTTCAAGGACCTGAGTTGTTCCCACTTTTACAAATTCTTGTTGGAAAAGAAAGATATTTTAGCGAAAATTGTGAAGACTGAAAAATAGTAAAATTGATTTCGTTAAAATTAAAAGTTTTAGCAGTTACTTAAGTACTTTTAATTTACAAATATAGAGATTTGACTACCTAAGCAGGTGACTGAAAATATCATTGGCGTGGTTTATTTTAAAATTATAAAGTATTATAGTTAGTTAGTTATTAGTAGTATCATATAATAATTTGATTAATGCCAAAAAAAGAGCGTTCCTAATTATTTTTGTTACCATATTACCTCAGAAAGAGTGAATAAAAATTAAAAAATTATAACGATGTTTTTATTTTTGTTGCAAAAAATATTTTTTCAGAGGTGTCCGGGGAAAAAACCAAATGTCCGGGATTTTTGCCGTGTTTATCCGGCGTCGGCAATTAAGGTGATGACAGCCCTAACTGCACCGTATGTCCCTCCAGTAGCTACGCCACTGTAAAGAAATGTACATTACACTGCAGTAACTACACGATGAAAAATAAAAAACTGCACGATACACCATCGTCTACTACGATATTATGAATTCCTAGTGCCAACAAAACAAAACTAGATAAGTAAGTGCCAGAAGTACAGTTACTCGTGAGTCCGATCGTCTAATCAACAGAACTCGTTACTTATTTAATAAGTTAAAATAATTACTACTTATTTGCTATGATCACGAAATATTATTGGAGCATAGAGTATGTGCTATAAATTCTTAATTACTTATTTTTTACATTTTAACATAGATAAACGATGAAAACTAAGTATTTCTCTTCGAAAAAAACGCACAGTATTCCCACGATATTGTATATACTTATTTGTTTTTTGTTTACTAACATAATAATTTGCAACATAAATATAGTTATTGTTTATTGTGAGAAGAGGAAATGTAAATAAAAGGAAAAGAATAGATGACTGGCAAAAAACAATTGCAACTGAAGGCAACAAGCCCGAAGCAATTGATAATGGGCAATTTAACATTAAATGTCCACTAAAATAGAGTGGACGTGCGAGTGTGGGGTTAAAAATACCCTTTATTGTTTAATTTCCACGAAACGGTGATTGGTTTTTACAATATTTGAACGGTGCGCTAATAATACATAAAAATATAACACATAATAAAAGGGCTGGTTTTTTGATAAAATAATAAATTGACCTAATACAAAAATAATGGATAGTACTGTAAAACCTACAAAAAAGGGTAAAAGCCACATTTTCATAGCCTATTAATGTATACATGCTGTTTCTGAAATAAGTAGCAAGCATGCCGGAAGTGATAGGGCACTATAAAACAAGAAAATTAAGTAAATGTTCGTATGTTCGAAAATTCGCCGGTTTCGAGAAAATTTGTTAGATTAGATAAGTGTGATTGACAACCTTTATTTTACAGCTAACTTAAAGTTGTACATTGTAGTCTGTATGTAGTTAGTTCAAGTTATTTTCATATCAATGTCATAGGTCAGTTCAGAATAGTATTATTGCAATGACCAATGCGT